TCTCAGGTCTGAACAATTTATTCTGTTTTTCAGTCATTATAATAAATTGTATCAGGAGTCCACTTTATATGAAGGTACAGAAGTTAAATGGATTACAGCTTTATTCATTGTGTGATTTTTTTTTCTTTATCTACATAAGAGTCTATTTACAACAAATATTTAGAATTAATCAATCTTAAACTCAAAAATCTATTAAATAATAATTGTTTTGGGTCATATTAGTCTAGAGATTTTTCCATAAGAAAAGGTATCAGAAAACTGGTTTATTAACATTTAGGTAAACGTCTCTTATCACTGCACCTCAAACTTCTTTTGGTGCCTCAGTGCGAGGCTTACCAAAAATCTTTGGCAGGAGGCAACTGAGAAAAGCCCCAATAATTTAGAACAAAACCTGATATGTATGTTTGCCATTCTAGTTCTGATTGAAAACTTAATGCTCCTGACTTTCAGAGTATTTTCTTTTAATCAGAGTATCATTCCTGGTTCCACTAGAAGATCAAAATGGTTAATTGACTATATATGAAACATGTCTTTTCTTTTAATAACTAAAATGAGAAAAATACAGCCTGAATTATTTTTTATTTAATTTTATTCAGAAACAAAGAACTCAAATAACTATTATTGTTTTACTTTATTTCAAAACTGACCAAAACAAAGGATGGACCAGCCCTGAATTGCGTTCTTTGCTTTAAAATTGTATTCTGTTTCCGAATCCTTAATTCATCAAAGGAACATTGCACATGTTTAAAGGTTTAATAGACACTACTATCTTTCTTAACTATACATGTGATCACAATTTCATAACATGTAAAATTAGTTTTTCTCTTCTTTACTGTATCTTCCTCCATAGGCCCTATTGGTCTGTTCATCATAGTAACTGGTAACTGGTATTTTCTGAGCATGCATGTGTGGGTGTGAGGCACTGCAAGTTGTCCTTCAATTGGATACTTTGTTCAGTTTTCTTTACCAATGATTAATACCTTCAATATTTCTATATGTAGTAGGGGATTGGGAACTGCCAATCCCCTACTATAAGCAGTTTCCTCTGTCTCTACTGTTGCTATTATTGTTTGATTTTGTTTTAATCCATCGGAATCCTAATTTTCTTTCTATCTCTGTATCTTCAGACTGAATGACTGTAACCTCTCAGAGAGAAGTTGTGAAGTTCTAGCCTCAGTTCTCAGCTCCCAGTCCTCTAATCTGAGGGAGATGGACCTGAGTAACAACAAGCTGCAGGATTCTGGAGTGGAGCTGCTGTCTTCTGGACTGAAGAGTCCAAACTGCAAACTGGAAACTCTCAGGTCTCATCACTCGTTCATATCATTCTTTTTTTAATTTCTTTTCATTTCCTTTTTTACTACATTTATGTTGAATGTTTATGTGATAAAGCATTCATCCTATTAGTCTATCTAATCTTTTGTTTTTCAACTTATTGTCA